GAATGATTGTATTGGATTTCGAATCTCTTTATTGCCATTTATTTTAATTTTTGATTCGTAATCTAATAAATTTCATGCATTCGTGACAATCGATAAAGTTATTGTATTTAATTTTCTTTTTCAAGTCTAATCATGATTCTGTCCTATTCTTAGTCCTAATTCTATCTACATATTTTAATTTTGTCAAAGTCTCCCAACACTACAATGAGCAACTAATTATCAAATTGATAGTCAAATAATCAATTAATGCAATGGGAATGCAAAATCAATCAAGGAAATCAAGGAATAGCTAAATTCCTAGTCTTGAATTTAAACAAATATGTAATATGATTCATCATTCATCCAATATAATAGAAAAACTAGCCCATCATTTAATAATTAAGTTATACAAGAAATATTGAAAAAATATCACTCGGAAAGAAGAAATATGGACTTGAATCTTGAAAAGGGATGAATATTCTTCAACAATCTCCTGTAAGCCGCCTTGATCTTGATGTTTAGTCTCGTTTTTGAATGATTTTATGATATGGATCTAATTTTTGAGAGGTGAGAGAGAGCTCAATGGCCACCCCTCCTGTATTCTACATGATGAAATTAGGTTAAGATTTACGTCCCTATTGCTTTCCAAAAGAGTTTCGATCAAATAAGGAAAGTTGCATTTGTTTGTGCATGATTTTGTCTCTACATAGCTTTCAATATTTTGATTGTAACTTTTTTTTCTTGATATCCAATTGATCTGATTCAAAGTGCAATGGAAATCTAACTCAAAGCGCTAGAATTCTATTCGAAATATAATTTTTCCAACTCAAATGTTTACTATTTAAAAAATGGGTCTCAAACTCTAGTTCAAAATCTAGAAAATGTTTTGTGCGGTTGAAAATTGATTTCTAAAGATCATTTGATTATATTTCATTACTTTTTGACTTCTTATAGTATCCAATTGACACCTACCACTCTCAAATCTTCATCGTGAAGGCCATCACAACTTTTGAGTATTTGCACTTTAGTCCCTGAATTTTAGATTTGGTTCATTTTAGACCTTGTTCGGTTCTTTCTTCCAAGTCTACATCCAAACTTGAGTTTTTCCTAATAAAAACAATAAATAATAAACAAGTACCAATCCGTCCAAAGAAAAAATAAAATATCATCATTTATGATCCCGAATTATACTTATCAAACTCCCGAACTTGAATCTTTGTTTGTTCTCAAACAAAACTAAAATTCAACTATAGAACAAATGCACAAACATGCAAAAATACTTAGCTAGCTAACTTGACATCTTATCTCAGAATTAAAATCATAACATTAAATCTAAGCACAACTTCAAGATCACGATATAGAAATCAAAGTCTACTTTTACAATGCAAAATCAACGTGTGTGTGAAGAATTAAGCATAGCATCGCGAATTTACATGATGTTCCATTTCTGACCCTTAATAGTCAAATATGTTCTTCTCCTCACTAGTGAGATTCCCACTCCCCAAACTTGTTATTTTCCCTCTTTTCAAGTGTGTGTGATTTAAGATTGAATTTTATACTATCGTCACCTATCTAGTTTAGGTAAATCTCACAAATTTTACTTCAACATGTCACTAAACAAAGATGCTCCATTAAGTTTGACTTTTTCAATCTCTAGGACTTGATTAGGCCAATAATCCCTTATCAAAAGTCGAATTTCCCTAAATAAGTGTTTGAGACATAACCAAAACATTTCGTGCGTCTTCTGTTTCATACACCTGCTTTTTTGATTTTGATTTTTTTTTTTTTATATTTTTCCCCATTTTTGTTCTTTTCAACACTTTTTTGTTTGTTTGCAAATTTTTTTTCCTTAAGCTTTCTAAATGATCCATTTAACAAGATTTAGACCGATGACTCACAAGTCAATTGACTTTAGGGCAACATATTTTAACACCCTTACAAGTTTAATAACTTTACTCATAAAGATCACGAAGAGAAATTTTCAAATAAAATATTTTTTTCATAACTTGATTAGTGCAATGTAAAACACCTATTCAAGTAAACCAATCTCTAACTTAAGACTTTCGCCCAATTTTATCCTATTAACCTTAGACAATTCATACAAGATTTATAATTTCACGTATAAATTCCCAATTTATCTCAAAATCTTCCTACAACAGCGAAATCCCCCAAACTATTCTAAATTTGGTCTAATGATGTAAAATATAGTGGTTTTGGGTTTAACATCTATGGTCCACTATTTCAATCTATCTAATTATGAAATCAACTCATTTTTACATATGCTTAACTTAATTCACGAGCTCAATATATATCAAATTTCACATGAAAAATCAAAAATTAACCTAAGCATACAACATATTCACCATTTATAGATCAATTCATAATTCAAAATATTCCTCATTGTCAGCTATACCAACTAACTCATGCAAACAAAAAGAAAATATTTTTGGAATTTTTCCAAATTTTCATTTTCTTTTGTATTTTTTTAATATCTAAAGCAATAAAACACAGACAACAAAATAAAACTCGTGTAATCTATCTCCAGACTTATACTCGACATTGTCCTCAATGTCTTAAAGGGGTGGAGAAGAAAGTACTTCTATATATGGCGTGAAATCAAATGACTAGCCATTCTTATTGCTCCTGTTGTCTCTTTAGTCAATATTGGTTTAAGTGTTCCGCGACGTCATGTTCTTACACAATGCGGATAGATAAAAATTTCAAGATCAAATACGTGAAACAAGTGTTACTTAGCTCACACTTCTAACAAACCAACTAAATCTCGGGGACCTAAGGGAAATCGAGAAACGGATGATGAGTCCCTAACAATTAAGTAAAAACTAATATAATTAACCCTAATTATAGAAACATAATAAATAAAAGAGATAAAAGTGTTGGGTTGCTTTCCAACTAGCGTTTGTTTAAAGTCTTGACTCCTTTTGTTTCTAGGCTCTTCATTGTAGCTTGGAAATGGAATTTTCAGCCTTGCACTTTATGTACTGATTGTAGTTCCTTCTTTCATCTTTCATTCCCCGCATACTCAAGTCTTCATTGTTGTCCCTACCAATAATTTCACCTTCATCTAGTTTTCCATTGTAGCTCTTCTAATGGTTCACTCTTTAGCAATCCTTAAAGTAGGAAGGCTGCTTGCGTGAATTTTTCATAGTGAAGCTCTACTGTTTATCCCCAACTTGAAGATTATCTCGTTTGTATCAAATCCAACAAGGCCCGACTTGTTGACAGGAATAGCCTTCCCAAGATTATTGGCATATAATATACTTTTTCTATGTGCAGAATGATGAAGTCAGCTGGAAAAATGAACTCCCCCGTCTTGATAAGAATGTATTCGACTATTGTGTAGGGGTGTTTCAACAGTCTGTCCACCAACTAAAGGATGATAGAAGCTACATCTAGATCTCCCAATCCTAATTTTTTGTAAAGAGTCAAAGGATTTAGGTTAATACTTTCTCCTAAATCAATTAACACAATTAATACCTTGTACGTTTCCTATGGAGTGAGATAAAGTGAAACTTCCTAGATTTTTAAGTTTGGCAGGGATCCTACGTTGGATGATCGCGCTGTACTCTTTAGATAGTGCTATTGTTTTATGGTTGGGCATCTTCCTCTTTTTAATCGACACTTTCTTCAAAAACTTGGAGTAGTTTGGGATTTGAAAGATAACTTCAATGAAAGAGATGTTGGCATGTAGTTTTTGAGGACCTCTAGGAATATCATGACTTGCTTCTCCAGCTTGGTATTATGCAACCTTTGATGAAAAGGGACTAGAGGTGCCAGTGAAGTGCCAGGAAAATTTGCCTTAAAATGTGATTGTCTGAAACTATCTGTTGATCCTTTTCAATTGCTTCTTCAAATTGCTCCAACGATTCATTGTCCTTAGTAGGCTCGTTTAAGTTCTTTCTGTCGCCTTCCTCTTTACAGTGATTTCTAGCAATTGAACACCATTTTTGTTAGTGATTGCCTAGGCATGTTCCTTCTTTGTCGGCTGCCACATTAGCCTTTGGGAGAATGGGATTCGTGGCATATAAGTAGGGTAGGATATGGTCCGGTTCGGTTCTAAAGATAGCCGAACCAAACCCGAATTTTCGGGTATTTAGTAAATGAAACCATTGAGTCAAAATTTAATTATGGAATCATTCAGGTTCAGTTCCATTTGATTTTCGGGTTTTGTACAATAATTAATTTTTTATATATTTACTGCAAC